AGTATATTTCTTTATACACTATAATTTGAACACATCAAATTATAATACTTGATTATGACTGGCAAGTGATTTGGAGGATAGTGACACACATTAATACATGATCAGGATTTGACCCTTCTCCAGCAGATATATATATATATATGAAATAAAGTGCTCATGTACATATCTATATTCGGCTACAGAGCACGTATCATAGAATGAATTTTAAGGCGAAATATTGATAATATACCGAAATAGCAATGATAAACAATAGGTTATTTTTAAATAAGTATTACCGGTACTAAAAAATAAATAAGTGCTCATATACATATAGATATTTGGATACAGAGCAAATATCATAGAATAAAATTCAAGGCAAAAAATTGATTAAATACCAGAATAGCAAGTATAATAAACATTAAGATACTTTTAAACGAAGTATTACTAAAAAATAAATAATGTGGTCATGTACATAGATATTTGGATACAGAGAAAGTGTCATAGAATTTAGGGCGAAATATGGATGCAAGTATGATAAACAATTTGATATTTTTATAAAAAGTGTTACTAACAAATAAAATAATAGATTATGGAGTACCAGCAAGTGTGCTCATAACAAATAAAAAGATAGCAATTCATTTACCACAGTGAATTAAATTCATTACACATTACTACTTGCTATAACACGGCGGGCACATGATACTCATCGTGTTTTAAACTTTTTTAAAGGTTTTGCTTGCTCTCCAGAACTCTCCATTTTTTATTTGTTTGTATTGTCAGATTGTGGACTTTTCAAAATAAACTATCTATATCAATGAATACAATATCCCGGGTCACCACTTGGCTGGTTCATATTCTGTTCTGTAGTTAGGTTTTCTGCCTAATAAACGGTATGTATTCCCAATAAGCATTACAGTATGCTCATTCGTTCACTCAATGAGTGATTTTAATTACGGTTAATATAAATAAGTTCATATTCCATGTTGCATCCATGATTCAGTATTTATTTTGTTCAATTCCAGTAGTAATCCATACCATAATTAGGTTATTTTAATAAATGCATTGATATAAAACAATAAAAATGAAATTAGTAAATATAAAATACATATCATAAACATATAATTTTCTTTTAAAATAACGCTTTACATAAATTTTTCAATTCCCTCTCAAATGGGTTGTTTATTCTATAATTCTCTATATTTTTCTACATATTATGGCCATTTTTATCTGCTTTTTGAGAAAGGAAAAATGGGGTGTTTTATTTTCGAATATAATAGAATTTCTCATGGTCAAAATTTTATATCTCACTATTGATTACAAAAGTATAATTGCATCCAAATCAACAGTATCTATATGACTATATAAAGGATCGTTGAAATTAAATAATATGCAAGAATCATATTGATAACAAAATGTATTCTAATCAATTTTAATATATCTAAAACAAAATCCTCATAAATATTTTTTGTAAATTTACAATACATGAAAATATGTGAAACAAACTCAGGTTCTTCATTACATAATACACACATTTCATTCTCTGCTATTCTTCCAATTTCTGGCTTTTGTTTTCAATGGCAAGATATCCCAGAGAAATAGTTAAAATCAGTATTTTTAATAAGTAAACGAATAGCTCGCAGAGCCATGTGATTCATATGGAGGACAGAGCTATGATTGAGAGAGGCCGTGGTTTGCCATATATTTAGGCATTCTTCTCGGCTTTCCTCTACCCTTGGATAAATATGTAAATCCCATGCGCGGCGGTGTGGCTCAACGGGCTAAGTGTTAGGAATACGCTCGCCACCGCACCTCTAATTACTCTGCATGGGTCCGCAGGTTCGAATCCCATGCAGGGATGGTTATGTGCAAGAGGATTGCTGGACTCCTTGCCGCCGTTGGGTGATTCACGTAACCGCTGCCCGCTGGTCGGTTACGGCTTCCTCCACCAACAAGTCCATGCTTCCGAAAACAAACAATATAACTAATCCCATGCCCGACTTGGAATGGTAACCGGGCGAGAGGCCGTGGTTCGCCATATGGATAAGTCGTCTTATCGGCTTTCCTTTCCCCCGGGATAAATATGTAAATCCTTATCCTTATCCTCATTATCCTAATAAATACATACCGGTAAATAACCGCACCCCACTGGGCGACTGGTTCATATTCTGTACTGTAGCTACGTTTTCTGTCTAATAGATATGCATCCCCAATAAGCATATGCTCATAGTTGTATGCTTTCAGCGTACCATACCTCGAAACCCAAAACCAAATATGTATTGAAGAATTAAAGACCTCAATACGGCCAATTTCGCACCCAACTCGGCTGAAGCAAGGGATTTTGGCAGCGAGCAATGCGTTTTCTTAATATGCAACGAACCATTTAGCCGGACGACGTAAAAAATGCAGGGAACAATACCAAAATGAGCAAATCTTTGCAAGTTTCCACTCATTGTATATATGCTCATTGGTCACAGTAAACTTGTTTATCGCAGACAAAAAAGTCGGTATTCTCCATTGTAGCGCTAATTTTGATCGCCAACGAAAGAACGTTTTTATGGCAGGTTGAAGCTGGTCCAAGGTTATAAAACTAGCTTATTTAACAGGTTTAGCATAGGTCGTCTGTTGCGAAAAGTTTGGTCAATGGAACCAGCCTCGTTTTTCACAACGGGGGCCAGGAAATGATTGACTGGGTGTGCGTTATTTGGTACTATTTTCAGGAGGTTGCAATCTGAAACTGCAATGGTGTCAACACAAAGATAACAACATGGATTGTCCCCCGCGACGCCTCTATTACAGGTGAAATTAATCGTTTACTTATACCAATTTATTCGGGTATGTTTTTTGTGCGGCCACAAAAAGTTCAGAATATGTTTAGAACCACATGAGAGAAAACCACCGTTGTACAGTAACGGCATTGAGTCAAGACTTGGCTTTCAATTTTCGTATTTATTCGGCTAATATAGGAGGATGATAAGACACGATAATTAGCGCATCCAGTAAATCTCAGTCGTCAAATAAGCAATTGATCAATGCCGTCACGTTGATTTCAGCAGGATAAATACTTTCCAGTTAGTCTCTGAAATTTGTGAGAAATATGTGTTTTCATTTCTCACGTAGTGTTTATTTCTTTTATTGGCGAGCAACCATTCTCTATTTCAGATAGCTATAATAAAAAGTTGCTTGCATGGTCTGGCAGAAACTTATGTGGATTTCCTAAATCAGATATACATAGGCTACCAGCAAAGAAAATTCCGTGCATAAATAACCATTTTTGCGATTATGGCACTAGACCAGCGTTTCCCAACCTTTTTTGGTCGCGGACTATTTTTTCACCGGCGAAAACCTTTGCGGACTCCGCGTGCGTTTATTGCAAATGTACTGGGCGTGAAGAAGTAATAAAACCAAACACAACAGAATTTTAACGATTTCCACAATCCGAAATTTGCCGAAATCGCGCGTTTGTTAAAAGAGTCGAAATTTTAGTGTATAAATGGCCTTTTCTGTCGCACTATATTCAATCCATGACAACGACGGGAATTTAAAATTCCTTTCTGTTTTAATTTAATTGTGTTCATGGTAACTCGCCGTTGCTCCGACTTACAACAAGATGGAAGCATTACTTCTTTAAAATGCCACGGCTCTCTGCGAACATAATAATATGAAAATATATAGCCCGATTATATTTAGTTTTGATACATATTTTTTCGCGATCTTCCGATTTTGTCGCCGTTACAAAATTTCTACTACCTGCTATAAATTCCATGAAAGTACAACTTAATTTAGTATTTATTAAAAATAGAATCAAAGTATATATATTAGTAAATCTAAAAAAATTATTCATCGCCTTGCTTTAATATCAATTTAATTGTGATCATTTTAATCTGCGGTTGTGTTGACGAAATAAAAGCAATACTACTAAGGAAATATGACAATCCGCGGACACAAAAATTTTGTTTAGATTCGTATTTTTGTAAATTCAACGAATCTGAGCTGTTCGTATAACACTTACGGCGCTCCAGTACTGTACATACTTGTGTCGACACAGTAAAGCAAATAATCCGAAGGGGAAAAGCTCTTACTACAGTAGCACCCGAAATTTTGCGATTTGCAAGGTATAAAAAAGCGTTTAAATTTGACAAATCTGAGCTGTTGGTACAACACTTACGGCGCTCCAGAACTGTACGTACCAATGTGGAGACAGTAAAGCAAATAATCCTAAGGGAAAAAGCCCTTACTACAGTAGCCCCCGAAATTTTGCGATTTGCAATGTATAAAAAAGCGCTTTTAATCTGTCGTGGACCATCATAAAACAAAAATGATGGTGCTCTCCATTTTATTTTCAGTATTGCAGCTTTTCAATTTAGAAAATTTAGGTTGCCACCCTTGATACCTACCAGAAAAAAAACATTAATCCTAGTTGTTCGAGCGCGCGAGAAACACCATTTAGGTATCTATTCACGCGTGTGCCGACCCGTGTTTTCATCGGAAATCCGAAAGTGAGTTGTGAAATTCAATAGTTTGATTAAGCGACGCGAGAGTGACCTGTCGCGTCACCTGTTATCAAATTTTCGAATAGCAAATTGCCATTCTAATAGTTGAATATATGACCAACCCTACTCAGTATCCAGTAATTATTGGATTGATTAATGTTATGTGAATAAACTTGCTTTTTATGTTTTATGTAAATTCTAACGTAAATCGTAACTTGGCTGATGGTAAAGTTTCGCAAAAACGTTTGCGGCCCGCAGTGAATTTCTGACTTGTTGCGGACTCATTCAAACAATCCGCGGACTCATTTGAGACCGCGGACTCGGGTTGGGAAACACTGCACTAGACCCATGCGAAACAGACCCAGATAATTTTGTTCAAACAGGCCCTGAAAATCTCGGCCCATGGCGGGAGCCGATCTCACCCTTTCGCCTATAATCTTATTTGAGGCGCTTTACATCTGTTTTTCGATGCTCGTTGGCTAATAAATCACCACTTCGTTTTCAAAACCAATAGAAAATAAAAAGTCTGCCTTTCAATGTACGACGTTGTATTATTGATCGCAAATATCAGTATTATTGTACTCTAAAAAGAAGAAAAAAATGCAAAAATAAGAATCAACAAGGTTGCAATTATAATTATGAGCAGCTATGCAGTAGATAATATTGAATGAAAGTTTTGAATTAGTGACGTAAAGGTAATTCGAAAGAGGAATCAATGGCGGCTACCATTGTATAGTTAGTATAGAATAACTAAGAAATATGACCTTGGAAATAGGAACAACTCGTGCCATATCTGAATTATTTAAAATAGGTAAATGATGTCATACTTAAACAAATAAACGTACTTGAAAGCCACATCAAAAACTTCGGTTACAAATTACCATTCCGATTTCTTTCAGGCTTTTCTTCCTTTAATATTATTGCACAAAATATGTTTTAATTTTGAGGCAAATTGGGCCAACATTCCACTGTTTATCAAACCTATACCAAATAGACTTCGTCTGATTACGCGGGAACCATATTTACAAACTCCAAAATTTCCAATCATAGAATCATGAGCTTAATGTTCGAATTTCACTATGGTGAAACATTTTCTGTTTGTCGAATTGTTCGCGATTATTCCTGGCCTCATAAATAGCACGCTTCCAAATTCACACTGTTTCTTCCTTGACCCACGTTTTCTGTTTGCGCATAGCTATAGCCAACCAAGATGGCTGCCCATCTGATTTCACTTCTTTTGAGCCGCTCATCACATGCTTTGGGGATACCATGCTGATGTTGGGGATAGGAGCAGTTCGATTGGTTTGGTCAGAGGTCGGAGAAGGTGGATCGGGGCTCATCAAACTGCCTTTGCGTTCCTTCGGAGCTATTGATGACTTAGAAGTCGGCGTAGTGGATTTCTTTTGCGGAAGATTTGGTCGTTCCCTCGACGCGTTTGTATCCTTCTCAAATCTTGCAGTGTTTGATGCTATTATTTTTCCTGGTAAATTTTTGCGTTCTTTCGGCGCCGGCTTCGATACATTTTCTTCGACCTCCGGCTTGTTGGTAGACTCTGCAAGTGTCACCTTCAAGGATTTCGGCCGACCGGCGTCCTTCTCGGGCGCCTTGTCCGCCGTGGTTTTCTGAGACGATGAATTCTGAATCAAAATAATAAAATTGGGACTTACATATTTGCATCATGGATTCTCATTTACATGTAAACGCACTCGCTACATTTTTATGTAAATGTCAGCAACAAATAATATAATTTAGTTTGCTGTACAACTTTAAAATATTAAAAGAATATGAAAGAACTTACAGTTTCATTTTTCGCCTGACCATCTTCCCATATTTTTGATCGTCGTTTGGCCAGTTGTATCCAAGATGGAACACCGTCCGTATTTTTGTCATCTTTTCCCCGAGAGGATCGAGATTTCGTCGTGTTCCTACGCAAAACAGGTTTGACAATAACTTCACTTTCTTCCGACTTATCAAGCTGTTTGATTGTTTCAACTTTTTCAGTTGGTTTTATATTATTATTTTCAACATCTTGAAATAAAGTTTTGGATGTTTTCATTGGGCTTTTATCCGGGGTTTTCGGGGGCTTGGTGGCAATAGCTGGCTTCTCTTTTGTGGGGCTTAAAGTTCGCGAACTCGGAATTTTCTCTATTGTATCACGAGTTTCCGCTTTGTTTTTTTGACCTGCTAAAATTTTAGCCTGTACAGGAGAGTTCGATCCGACGTTGAATGAGCGGGTCCGCAGAGCCCTTGTTGGCGAAGTTACCAATGAGGCTTTGAAAGATTCAGATTTCCGTTCCCCAAATTTCTCAGTTCCGGTTCTATCTCCAATCGATTTCAGTTTGTTACGGGAATAAAGTCCTCCTGGCTGTTCATCTAACAATGGGTTCGTCGGCGTTTTCGGCGAGATAGTTGTAGACTTTTGGCCTTCGTTTGTACTTGGCTCCTTTGTTTTGCCTACACTTGGTTCAGTATTTGCACGGATCTTTCTATCACCAAACACATGTTTTTGATCCTCGTTGAGAGCTCTGGGAAATATTGGTGACGACTTCTTTTTTGTAGTCAATGTGATTTTGTCTGATACTTGTGATTTTGATTCCTCTACTTGTTCAGAAGACGGTTGCTCAGAAATGTCGTCTTTGTATTTCAAATTTTCCACCTTTGCGCATTGACCAGACTGTACAACATGCTTTGTGATATCCGCATTATATTCGTGACTTTTCGAACGTTTCAATATCGACTTAGCTTGCACATGTGTCTCTATAGGACTTGTCACTTTTCTAACAGGCGATAGGGGCTCATCTTTCTTCTCCTCCTGAACTACTGTGTTCTTCTTAATCGTTACATCTTGTTCTTTTTCTTTTGCAGATTCTGTTTCGGTCACGTTATTGATAGTAAATGTATTTGTCGTTTTATCAGGAGATTTTAGTTTAAAGGTTTCGCCGAAAATCGATATTTTCTGTTCAAGCGGTGATTTTGGTGAGTCGGGCTTGTCGATTTGCGGTATTTCGTTATGCTCAACAGTTATTTGTTTCGAGCTATCACCAAATATCATCTTTTCGACATCAAGAGGCGATATAGGGGACGGTGGTTTTTCATGGTCATCGTCAACTCTTTTTTCCGCCAATTTTTCTGCTTCCAGTTTTAACATATCCGCGTATTTGCTTTTGACATTATGTTTTTGCTTCGGTTCATTTTCAACAATTTCAGGAGATTCACCACCGTCTTGATGGGCATTCATTTTTTCCGATTCCACGTTGGTCTTCTCCTCAATTTCTTTTTCCGAACTCGACAAATCCATTTTCACGACGCTTTCAGCTGTTGTATTTTCACTTTTTGTTTTGGAATTATTACCCGAATGATTTTTGTCTTTTCTCCCCAAACCAAAAGACTTCTTTTTAGTAGTTTCTTTTTTGTCATTCCCCGAAAATAGTTTGGATGCCGACCCCAATTTCGAGTCTTTTGCACTAACATTTTTCTTACTTGGTTTTGGTTTCTCATTTTCTTTTTGTGCGTCTTCGGGAGCATTCGGATTGGCGGGCGGACTTTTGGACGACGAACTTGATTTATTTTTCCAAGGAAAAATAGAGGAACCTCCATCCGATAGACCCTTTTGATCCTGTTTGGTAGGTTTCTTCTCCGAAGAATTGGATTTCTTTGATAGTTTGGACTTGTCAACATCTGATTTGTTCGACACTGGTTTTTCTTTGGTTGATTTGTCAGTGGTTTTGGGCTCCAATTCTGGTTGTCGTTTACGTAGCTTAATTTTTTGCATGTCTTCTAAGGTCGGAACAATCATCCCCGGCGCCGCACCCAATGGTGATCTGCCAAACATAGAATGTCTATTGGGTGTGACAGTAGTTCCAGATCCAGTTGCGCTCTGTTCTGCTTGGGGTGGTTGTAGTGAGAAGCTTGGTGGCCGGGGTTTCTTCGCTCGGGGCGGAGAAATATCTAGAAATAAGTTGGATTATGCATTAATGAAGTATTTCCAATATGATATATTTTATATACACAAAAAGTGGCCGAAGCGCAAATTGATACTGTAACTAATAATAAACATTATATATTAATCAAATAATAAGCACAAAGCATGTGGGGTTGATAAATGTAAACTCGGTTTTCCACAAACCTTTTCTCCAAAAAGCTAAGCAGCACCGAATTGTCGAGGCCATTTGTGTGTGGCTCTAAATGAAGCATCTGAATTTCCTGTCAAATACCTTTTGCTAGTTAACATTGTTAGTTGAACTTATTACTATTTACTTTACCTCTGGATATTTCTTCTTTTTCATCTTCAATGGTTGGTGAATCAGGAAATCCGTTAATTTGTGCCTCTACTCGAATCACATGCTTTTGCTAAAAATAAAAACATGCGGGAATTTGAGGTGGTACCATAACATTCAAACGGTCGTTATTTAACGAATCTATAAACTATGGATCACAATAGTTTGGAATCACCATATTTTGGGCTGGCGAATTGGATTGGTATAGAATAGATAGACAGGTCACGAGACCACGTTGATTTTATACTAGAATATCTGAAATTGCAGCACAAAATTCAGGCGTCACTTTACAGCGTAAAGTATAATGAGTGGAAGCTAACCTTAAATTTCCAAGGTTGCACGTTACTTTTTCATAGCTTACCTGAGCACCTCGTGATCTACCGGCGGCTCTTCTCTTCGGCCTCAGCGCAATCTTATCATAAGCTGCTTTGTTATTTAACCTTGGTACGCTTATTGGTAAATCATTCATGTCTGAAAATGTATAAAGACAAATGAGTTACTTGGTTAGCAAATGCAAAATTATACAAACATACTTTGCGATAACAATTCCACGAGAGGATCGATAAGCTTCGGTGAAAAATAAAAATTCATGCAACGATAAGCATTTACACGTTATAAATTCAACATAAACTAATACAAAAGCGTTAAGTTTCTCTAGACTTTCGTGCAAGAAATCACTGTTCTTGCAACTCACGACCTATTACGTGACAAACGCACTTCCGGAACAAAAATCCACAATGTCATGTTGGTTTTTCTTTTAATAAAAAGTCACTTCTACTTTGGCTAAATAGTTGTCCGCCATCTATGTTAAACATAAAATTGTGTGAGTTACCAATGTCGCGTTACCACCGAATCTGCTACTACCTTCCGGCAAGTTTGCCAGTGAATTGGCCGACTGGGGGATTTTGCGTAAGTGTGCAGACTAATGAAATATTCATAAAATCGTTTGCATTTTATATTCGGCTATATCCCTATCAGGCGATGATGGAAATTTGCTTTTTCGACTCCGATAAACTGCTCAACTTTGCAACATCTTTCAACTTCCCCCAAACAAGCCCAATAAAACACAACTTGATAAATGACATCATCAGAAGTGCTCGAGTGTCAGGAACATAAAATAAAAGTATTTTATTAATCAATAACCAGGGCGAATGATCCTATATGAAAGTATCGCGACAACTGAAGTACAGGCGACAGACAATGCCTGTATCAAGTACCTCCTATGTACATTTGATGGTAGTATGTCAACAGATTTCGCCATTCAAAAGTGAAGTTAAACAATCAGCGGATATCTATTCTATACATTATCTAAATTTGATGTTGCAAACATCTATGATAATTATCACATATTTTGACTGATAATTTTCCCTGACATTATTAGATTTTTCAAATTATGTATTGATAAATAGCACTGCCAAGTATCTCAAAAGCAAATGGACAATCAGGCACCGATGATTGCATAATGTAACCGTGAAATTAATCTCGCCCTTTACTCAAATTCGGATCATCTAATAATTATACAATATCAGTGAGCTTATTCATCGAAAAAAAAGTTGCGTCTCACTACCATAGAGTTGTCAAGGCTGGAAATCTACAGCCCCGAAAATCGATATAAATTGATGGTAACATTCTGTTTCGTGCTTGCATTCCTTAAACCCCATTCAAAGGGTAGATGTATTTATTTAGACTGTTCTTTACTTGCGGAATCTTGAATGAAAATAGTCACTTATCTACGAAGTGATAATGACTGCATAATCGGGATGAATGTTAAATAATAATAGATGGTAGTACTAGTTTACATTCAAGGTTTTTTTTTCTAATAGAGCTTTCAATTGGGGGCGATGATGAAGCTTGTAGCCTACACTTGACGACAAGCACATACCCAGGGATTTCTTTGAAACGATTTAGAAATACCGCCACATTAGACTTTACCAGCAGGTCTAACCCATGTGATCAAGACGACATCTTCCACTAACTATTCGGTAACTAATCCTCAGGACTTTAATATTATCTGACAAACTATCGCACCCTTAAATAAACTTGCACAATATCTAAGGGCTATGTATTCATTTGATATCTTCATGTACGGCGTAAATTAATTGACAGTTCAATCCCATTCATACAATGTTAATTTAATCACTAGACTAAGGCCTTCGCGATTGTTGCGGCTTCATTACTTTTATTACGAGCTCCCATAATCGCGGATTAATTATATTGCATGTAGTCGTTTAATCGCACTCGCACGGCATTTTGCTTCAACGACTTTGTATGAACTTGCACGATGAATCATGTCCAATAGCGGCCTATTAAATTCGGTTCTCTCGACAAAACTCAAGTAATCAATTTCTTCAAGAGTGAGGAGATGGCTTGTAACGAGTAGTAAATGGCGAAAAGGATCGGAGGAATTACTTTCCGTAAAATGATAGTTCAGTCGAAGGTCTCAAACGTAAAAAGGCCATAAAACACAACTACCAATATCGACACGAATCTCGTAATTGGCAATATCCATTAAGCAAATGACCACCACAAATGCTATACGAATGTCGTAAACAGAGATCAATATGCCAATCCTGCTCGTTGGTAACTTCTAGATGTAATACACCTAACACTGCGAACTTTCGATGCTTGTAACTAGTGAGTTTTGTCATGCTTTACCTGCCTATACACACATTTGAGCAGCGTCAAAGATAAGTGAGCAAACAAATCTAAGTACGCCTCTTTATTGCCGTTGCTTGGTTACAAAAATATGATATCGTTACTTGAACTATACTTCACACGATTTATGTACCTCCTTTTTAATAGACTTGTGCCCTTGGAGTCATCTCAATCATTACTTAAACTAGCATGCATCGGAGTCACATCCACATCCCGAGATTGATGACTTTAGTTGTTCGGATTGAAACACGGTCCAAATATATCATATCCAGCTATAGTACTAGATTCTGTCGGCTGGACTGAGTAAAATCATTAACTCCAAGTTGTGATGTAATATCTAAATCAAAACTGGTCCAGGTGGAAACTAGTTTTGGTAGTATAACTTATCCAGCTCCATCCAGCCTTATCCGTGTATATTATTAGCCACTCGTGATATAGAACGGGAAATGACACAGATTTTTCGGGTTAGCCGATTCACGAGCGTATGCAACATAGTCCATCACAAGCCATGAAAATATATACTAAGACAGTGCATATATTTATGACCATACCAGATTGCACAATGATATTGAAGCAGCCTTATTTAACTTCTGGTTTGCGATTCAATGAAATACTAATTTTAAAGCGTTTATGTGTCATAATTTTCAAAACCATGGTCACAGCAGCAATATTGTCGAAGATCGACAGTGTGACGCTAAAGCCATTAGATAATTTACTGTTGCAACGAGACAAAAGAATTGTGATTCACACATACCAGATAATCATTTTAATATCTTTTACATTTTTATGAAATGAAAAAAAGGATTTCCTGGGAAGGATTGTTTTTCCAATCATATACATACATGATTAATTAAACCATTATCTAAGTCAGACCGACAATACTCTTGTATATCCCTAGTACCTGCAAGTTGTTCCGAACTAATGATCATCCACGCCTTTACAATTGAACGTATATCTTTCAAACTACGATGCCACTGGTTATGACAGGGTCATTCATTATCTGTTCGAAATGAAACTGCTCTAAATTTTCCTCACTGAAGTGTTGTCATTGATTACTAAACGGCCCTAATACTTTGCAACGCACGTTACTTTGCGTTTCATGGTTGTTTACCTCTAACGGCCGACTAATTGGTACACAAACAGCTACAGGCCGACAGATGAAGAATGCGACGAATATTTCACGCCGCCACCTTGTGCGCTGAATAAATTATGATTGACCAAACAATGGTCATAAATATATCGAATCAATCTCGGTTGAAATATTTCGACACTACATAAGATATGCTGTTTCCCATGTTCTATGCATTATGATGCTCATTTATTTATAGATGGACATAAGAAACAAATCGCTATTTGTGGTTAATTTGCACTGTTCAGTAAGCAGATTGCTAGCGATGTGAGGGACTAATTACCCGAGTCAACTCCGGCGAATGCTAATTATAACTAGCATAACTTGAGCGCTCTTGTCGAATACGATAACAGAGTACGTGATAAGCCTACAACACGAGTTTGACGATACATGGCAAGTGTGTTGAAACGACTGCAGCCTGTACTTCCACAAAGTATCTCGAAAAAGCAAAGCTGCTTTAGTTTTACTTCTTCTGCAACAATTTAGAACACATAAAAAAGCGTGCGACTTTTCCGTATATATATTTTTATCGTTTTTTGGCAAGCAGAACCAAGGCGGTACAGTTACACAATTATCTGATCTATAATGCTATTTTCGTTAGATCCATAAAGATCTAGCAAAGACAACTACATTTCGAACATTAGTTGAAATACTGTATAGTCAATAATATGCCTGAAATCAGACGCCAATGCTACCTGCGACTCGGCAAACACTTGGTGATTCTAAGACAGAGATAACACTAAATACTATAGAATGAAATGTCAATCCAGGTGTCGGATCATCGCAACGTCATATTTCTGTTAAATTTTATGCTGACATTTCCTGTTTGTCCAAGTCATATTTGACCTATATCATTCATCCGAATAATAAATGCCTACCGGTAACTGTAAGGCATTTATTAATAGTTGCTGAATATTGAGTATTTTCATATGTCATATGCTGTCAACGATTTCAAACCAATGCCAACTAACTCTCATAATTGAGACGATGAATAGAAATGTCTTCAATACCACAATTTTAAAAGGTGCAGTAATCGGCTATGGTTTCTTATTTATTTACATTCTACTCTAGATTCCGTCCTAGCTAAAGAAAACTTGGACATCGACTAAGTTAATTTGCGATGGAAATCTAAATAATGCATTTATACCTAAATTTTAAAGGCTTTACCATACAGCCTAATTTTCGCGTAGGGAATGCATCTAGACCTGTGCGATACCTATTAGGATCGACCAAGCATTACTTTATACGTTGGATTGACTAAAAATTACCGCCAGTGCAAAATTGCAGCTAATGCCGTAACATGTCGCTTGTAGTCAACTCGCCTCGAATTGATCAAACTGCACGTCGTTTCCTCTTACGCTGATTGCAATCACGCGTAGACAGCCGTTTGCTTATGGGCACGTTGTGTCCTCGCGATAATTCGAAGATAGTGTCTTCTTAAGAATGGCGAGAAGGTGAAGACGATATCCCTTGCATAATGTTTGGAACATAAAGGAAAACTGGGCATACTGGTTGCTATTTTTTGGCGAACAAAATCATACTTTATCGTATTGCAAAAGCCAGTGTGTTGAACCAGATGGATTAAAACATATCAACTACTCGTGAGCCGCAAATACTTTGGAATACAATTTATGGCGAGTCGAACAAGCAAATATATACTCCATGTTTATGACGCGCAGACAAGTCAATTTAAAATCGAGGAAACAGCCAGCCTTATTTTACACCTTCAATTCCAAGTTATATTTATTCCTATCCACTTCTCGGTTGCTCTATACCCGACAAATAGAAGATTACATATATATACCATTATTCTCTCTGCTACACGGATTCTTCTCATACAGTCTATATATTTTTGAATACCCTGTGGGTTTTACCTTCTTGTACATTTATGATGTTCAACGACCTTCGGAGGCATGTTTACCTCAGCTAGGCATAGTAAGATTTCTTTCGCATACCGCTTCTGTTCCCTATAACACGCAATCGATAAATACTGGGATATATAATAAAAATAAGTCTTGATTCTACGCTACTCCCGTACAAGTATCTAATTACGTCATCAGATCTCCCTCCCCATAGACTTCATCCATATTTAATGTCTTGTGAGAAACAAGAATTTTAATCTAAATCAAACATGATATGAATCAATCTTACAACTAACCGTACACGGTATGGTGATAAAATTCTGCAATGTTTTATAAGCGTGAAAGTGGGCGCCACAAATGATTAACTTCAGTCAAGCATGTTATATCGATGTATAATACTATTTTGCTTAATTGGCCCATACCAGGGCAGACTTATCCTGTTATCGTCATTAGTTTACAATATAAATTTTATTGGATGGAATTTCCATTGGGTACCAATGATAAGGAATTGACAATAATGCACATTGTATGCTATATTCAATCCACGTGAAGCATCGGCGATAATCGAACCAGAAATGGGAGACATGTAAAGTTTTTGAGATTGTGATACCTCAAGTTTATCTTGCATTGAATTGCAACAGTGGAAAAATATTTTTAACAAGCCATATCATTATGACGGATTCGAATAAGAATAATTTGTACTCACCCAAATCTAAATTAATTTCAGATCCCGTCTTTTTCAGATCATTTGTACTTTTCGTAACGTCACTTCCAATGCTCATTGATTTGGCGGCATCTGGTTCGTCTGATTCCTGAAAAATAAACATAAATAGTTAGGTATTTGATGATTGTGTGGGGCTATCACCCTATTCATACCAAGAAGTCGAACAAAATCATAGTTTGTCTAATTTTCATGAAATGCTAGATTGGGGTTAAATCACAAGAAAATATCGAGTTCTTGAAAAATTGAGTCAAATAGAGGACTCTAGAATATTGTTGAACAATCTCGCAGGCTCATGACATCACCCGTGCACAGTTATTTACGGCTTAGCCTACAACAGTGCACTTCATATTATGGATTAAGAACAAATTATGTAAGAAATTCCTCCATGTAACTTGGGCGACTGCATGTGCTGTTCACCAAATTACGTCATCGGACATTTGGCCTTGTCTTATAAGTGCCATCCATTAACTCCGTGATCTTTCTCGACCGGATGACTTTTAGCATAAGTATCAATTAATTTCTTGTCAGAAACCATTCAACTCATTTTACCCGAAGATACCGCTGGGTCCTGAACTACAACGCCTTCTGGCAAATAAGGTTCAATAACCCTCATTGGAATAGGCCATTCAAATCGTGGTTGGATATCATACATATCCGTTTTTTAATCTGGTCGTCAAAGTATAGTCTACTTATCCGACACTGTTTTTAGATTGAGGGCTAGAGATATCTAAATACTTTTAAGTATTGTAAATTGTAATCTCGGCACCGTTTCGTGTGGAATTAGAAAAAAACACCAATACATATGTTTGGTTTCCCTTGTGCAGTCAATAGGCAGAAATCTTACATTCGTCTACCTAGTAGCAGCACGGTTTCAATCATAGACAGTATGTCCAACATTATTATTAAGCAATCTGAGGTTCGAAATCAGTTTGGGGCTCCCATCATATTATGGCTAATTGTTTTTTGATTCCAAAGCGTTAAAATATCTTAAGCCAGCAAGAAGTGGTTGTTCGTCATTGATCGAAAAGAAAACATTTGGCCTAGCTGAAACTCGCATGGATTCCAGTTGATTCAATCGCCAAAGAATTTTTGGCATCTCACTAAAAACCCCAGCGGGATTACATTGTTTCTCAAAAAGCATTTAGGCCTACTCGCTCATGCGATATTATAAGGAATTCCCTATCGAAACCGAAATGAGATATTTTTATTTACTACAAGTTCAGTGCGCGATATGCCAATTACTTCGATAAATATTAATTTAGCTTTGCTTTTTATAATAAAAGCACCCACACAAATAACCTCTGTTTCAAGTTCAACGCTTGACTTTGAACTTGATATATCTTCGCTTGAGCACTTCTGGCTTTCCTTGCTTTCTATATCCGAAAAAAGATTTTCTGGTGTGAAGTCAACGCTCAGTTTTTCTGGCGTGGCATCGGCGTCACACTGTGAGGGTTCAATTGTCACAACAGGCATTGGTACGTCTCCATCGCTTTGCCTTGATCTTCTGCGTAAACTTTTTCTGACAATAGAAAGCACCGACGTAGATGATGAGGTGTTTAGCACGTATAAAGACTTGGGTCGGGCGATAGGGTCACTATCCTTTTCAACGCTTTCGCGATTGTCGTCAATTGAAGAGAATCTCATTCCGTACATAGATCTCCGAATCATTCCTCCTAATCTCGTAATAGGGCTTCTAGTTTTTCTTCTTGTTGGAGTTGCAAGGCTGCTATTCTCTGAAGCTGATGGCGTTATATTGCCATCTGACATTGTCTTTACTCCCTCACTGGTCTCATCATCTTTTATTTCATACTTCTTCTTATTCGATTTTCCAGGCCAGGCGAAAGTTTTTGATCTTGGTTTTACCGGGGAAGCGTCACTTGCAATTATGCTACCTGATTGCTCATCTTTATCGATTTCTTGATCAACAATAATAACGGGAGTAACAGCAACATGATTCTCCTTTTGTTCCTCCAAATGCGGGTGAATAATTTTCCGCTTTGCCTTTTCTGATTTTGAATTAGAATTATTCTTCGGCAAAATCTTTTTCTTGAAAGTTTGGAATGTTGACTTCATATTCTTTTTGTAGTTTGAGTTTTTTTAATGATTATATCAAGGGATTTCTATCGCCAACCAATTTACCCGCAATCATTCGACCAATTAACAATATTTGAATGACAATATGATATTCTACATTTTCATATACATACTAATGTCCTGTATATTAATAGTAAATTAAAGAATGTGCGCTAATATTCGATTCCAATACGCTATATGGATATACGGATGTTAGAACTCGCTACAATAATTAACCCACAGATTTTACTTCATTAGGAAACAATTTTTACTCTAATCAGTTTGAAATATTCAAGTGTGTGATAGAAAATCGTTGACTATTGTTTCATATACCTCAGTAATACAAAAGCGAACATTGCCACAGCTCATTGCTCGAAGAAATGAAAAAAAAATTATTGCATCAACGGGTGACTCATTAACCATTACCCATGTTCAAGGTATTTAATAATTCACAAAGGCACAAATCATATATGCTCAGGTCTCAAATTGTTTCTCACACCAACAAAATCATTCTATCACTTCAATATTGAGCTAAGTGCAACGACGAATACCATCCTCAACACGTGACTAGCCAGGGATCAAATTCTGACAAACAGTTTCAATTGTTAAACTAAAAACGGCAACCACAAAGTTTAATAATAGCATCTTCGCGTATAGAACATATTTCTATTTACAGGACAAGACAACTGCGAGCTTCGCGAAAATATTCTAGTTCGGTTTATTGTAGGCTACTTCATACTATGTTTTATAGGTTTCGGGACTCTTTCTTACGGTAACATTTTCTACTACAATTTCAACTAATGTCACAATCTATAACTGAATCACTTGACCTACCTACAGACATCTTTCCTTTGGGATCGCTTATTTGTCTGAAATTACGTTGTAACTGACTCACTAGACTTTGTTGGTCCCCAAGAGCACAGCCCGAGATTACTCTCTTGAGAAATGGTTGCAAGCAACCGCACTCAAGCCACAACAACGTTAATTCTTTCGACGGCCTGGCTGTTGTAACTGGCCGTCAACGTAAAAGTCAAGTATTAGGTAAAGTTACCATGTATCCCGTGGTACTGGCCTAAGTGCGGAGGGCCGAAATGAATAAAAGTTTTATTCTTTGCCCAAGTTGGATGTATCTAATTAAAACAATACTCTGAACGAAAAATAATTCTCATTCTAATACTCAAGCCTTAGACAGACCAATCTCAATTTCTGGTGTAAAAATCTGACCCGACTTCAAGCTATACTCGAAAAACCTATCAAACGATTGTCTAATATAATCCTCGTGAAAAACATTGTATTGAACGAACTGCGTATAAATTTGCATCTTATACAAAAAATACTTCTGATATTTTTCTGCTCTGAAGCTGTAAACATATATGAATTCTATTATCTATTCTGAATATGTTTTATTGGCATTTTAATATGTTTAAACCTGATTATCCTTAAAATTGAAAATTGAATTTAACATCCAATTTAATTGCCCCAGCGTGAAATTAAGCGTGACTCGAAAAGTATTTACGAGATGATTTTAGCACATAGAATTTCTCTCATTCCTGTCAGAAATTTTCTATTGCGAGTAGGACATAGAAAATCGATGACTCGCATCTGGCTATGCATATAAAAAATAACAGTCTTCTTCATATAGGCCATAATTGCAGTATCTGAATAACAATTAGTTAAAAATTGTTTCAGTATTTGATGAAGACGAACTAGTATCTAAATGAATAAGTATCGGTATTTTGCTTATCCGTGTACATGACAAAGGGGTGTAATATTTGTTTGACACGGAAAGCGAAAAGACAAATACGCATCAAGCAGAGAGCGCCCGCGATATAGTCTTTTTGTTCAAGGCGTTCCTCGCATGTATAACTGTTATCGTCAAGTTAAACTAGGACGTCTTATCATTATATAATTACATGATTAACGTCAAATATTTCGATTTTTGCATCTACTTGCCTAAACACCTGTACCGCTTACAATTCAGATATGAAAATATGGTCTAACGGGAGCTTGATATAAATTTTCAGTTTGGTGTCAAAAGGACGTATTATTTTTCTGCTCTTTTTTAGTTTAGTCCATTTATTGAAAATTGGCTTTTGATCAAGATAGAAAATATAAAGAGAAACACAAATAGGAGCAGGAATTTTTCTGATGTATGTTTCTGCCTCATTTTCAATAAAATCTATCTATCAATTGTCGCGGTGATGTGAATATATGTGATATAAATTTTATATTCTTCTGACAAACCTTCCTGATAACGTCGCCTGTTCTCTCTTCTCTCAACCTCCAGCAATTGTCTAAATTTACAATCTTTGCATTATCTTATTCCTCTCGTAATCAATACACGGTGTTTGGAAGTCATAAATAAACATCCATTCTCACGTTGTTGTGTGTTTCAAAATATCATTTCATACCTTATTAAGACACCACACAAAATCATGCATGGCACATCATTAAATCACGCTTTGAAAGAGTGATTTTTTAATGTGCCTTGCTTGATTCAGCCGAATGACGTAATCAACCGTATATGAATTATTGAATGTTGTTGCGAAGTTACAAAAACGCAGCATGCCGATATCGTTATTGGTCTCAGTTTGGCGTTAAAAATTCCCTGGAGCGGTGTAAAATTGCTTTTCGAGTTGGTTATAATAGTAATTTTATCCCTAAAACTTGTGGTTGTAAATGCTCAAATCTAAAATTGCCGCAAACATTATCAATGACTTTCTTATCTCAACATCTGTAAAACAATTTGGATTTAATCCAAAACAGAATTTGAGCAGGTCGTTGGCTCAGCGTGTAGACGATTAGGTAGATACCTGGTTTTGACTCCATTTTTTAATGGTTTCAATCTATTTTTTTAATTTTTAATTCGTTGAAAGCCATAAACTGGTCGCAAATGTGGCTAGCCCATAATGCACTACATGAATCCTACATTAGGTGTCAAAATTCTCGTACCCATACGAATCGAGTAATATTACATATTTTAGGCGCAATATCGGTTGTGTGCTGAACTATCATTCCAGTGCTCCTAATCGTTCATAAACACGTCATCATTTCTACACAATCGAAGAAGAAAGCCTAGGTCTATGAAGTAAACATCCTTAGACCTAGCAGCTAATACTATACCGAGAACAATAAACAATTCTAACTGGACGTTTTTTATGACACTGATAACGGTATTACTTGTTTTGTACAAGAAAACTCCCTAAAAACTTCAATTATCTCTGCAATTTAATCATTTCGCAGAAGTAATCTCAAAGCGATGTCAGCATTACGGCATTGTAACATTAAACAGATGATTTAAAGCCCTGTATGATATTATTTTAGTTCAGGCGACGTAATAAACAACAAATCATTTAAATGTGTCGTTGTTTGTAACTTTGAAGTTCACAAATTGAATACTTATGTATCATTCAAGCCTGGTACAAATATACTTCATTGTTTTGTCATGTTTGGACTATCATAACAGTTTGCGTTAGCAATACAATACTTTTAGGCCACTTTACCTCTACATGACACTCAAACGTCACTTACTGAATAGGCCAAACGGGCGTACAGCTGTTAGTGCGAAAACTACAAAAAATGCACTCAAGTTCTGTGCTTTTTATACCAGAATATTACAAACTCCCCGTATTTATAAACAACATTTGGAAATGATTCAAAACGCTAAAATATGAAGTTGTCCAAATATATCAAAATTACTTTCTTGCATCTGATAAAGTCCAGCGACCAGAAGTCACGCCAAAAGATATATTCCTAGCCTCACCATTTAGAAGGTGATATACAAAAGTCAAACTTTATGCATTACATTTGACTATCGCACCATTTTGGATACCAAATGAAATATCACAAAACAGTTAAAGAGAGATGGTTGTATGATTTATCCGTGTATGGTTCCCGTCAAGACAAAGATTTGTACCAATGACTAATTCTTATCCGTGAATATTTTTGCTAAGGGTATTCAAATACAGGAAAATCCAACTTCGGAATGTGATTTGAGCTATGTGTGTTAATTTATAGAGTGAAATAAAATGTATAATCATATTGCGTTAGAAATATTATATGTTAGATCTAATAACAATTGTAGTTTTCGTTATTTTTTATACTGGTATTTGTTCAAATCTAGAATTCTGTGATTGCCTATCTATACCAATGATGGAAAAAAAAACTGCAGATATGCCTATAGTTAGATAGAAAAACACCATAAAACATAAAGTGGTCGAAGTTTATATAGACATGACATGAAACCCGGTCTTACGACAGCGATGATTTTATGAAAAATTTCGAAACTGCATCATTTCCGGACAATCAAATGCGTTTGAAACATTTATAAAATATAACCAGCCATATTTGTCACGACATCAATCAAAAAATCAAACGGTCGTGCTGTGGTTAGAACATGTGTGCCGAGTCATTCTTGATCTATCGTGGGCCATTCATAGAGTAACAAAGGGAAAATGTGATTAAAATTTTTCCAGACAGGTCTTTGCAGGTGACCCGGCGTCAACTTTTGCCCTTTTTTGTTATTTATTTCTAATTTAAAGATTATTACTTGATATTATGTATCAATATATAGGCACCAGGCAAACCAGATTTAAATAAATACACACGGATGCCACACTTTTTATGGTACCCACCATTTATTCGCAAGTTACGATAATACCAAAAAATGCACATAAAATTGTACGGATCCGGACACGTCATAAATATCTAATAATTTGAGTAAATCGCTTTCATTTCCGATATTATTAACCGATACGATCTGCATATGTAGACGCGCAATCAAACCAGTGTCGCCGGATAATACTCGTTTCAAAACTTCTTGACGAACAGATCACATCCACTTTTCTAACCGCCACTATAGCACACCAGAACAATTGACCAAAGTGTGAAACGATGGGCAGGTTTTTTCGAAACGGGCCAATTCCAGCCATTCCAAATCTTAGAGGCTTTATATATACCACTGTCTACACGACCAACTTCTAGTTTGTTCAAGACGAAATTGTAAAACACGTATCGAAAAAAAAGCTTTAGGTAGCATTTAGCGCGTCTGCAGTGGCTGGTAAGCTTCCTAACTTCAGTTTGCTGAATTTCATATGAGTGCTCGTGATATTGATTTTATTATCCTGTATGAGATAGGA